AAAGACCAGCATCACTGTGGTGGAGTCTTCTGGGAAGTATTTCCTCGGGGTCAGCAAACAGAGGGGACCCGCACCTCTATTTCAAGCTGGAAGCAGGACTTGGTAATGTGTAAGAGTCTCCTGCATGGTTCTGGTGTTGAAAGCATGAAGGGGTCACAGAGAGCAGCTGAGGCTTGGGACCCTGAGAGGCCAGGAAAGGCCATAGGTGAAAGTGCAGCTTCAGTTGCAGCGAAGACCCCAGGATTGAAGGGGTCATGGAGAGAATCTGAGGCTATGCACCCCAAGAGGCAAGAAGAGGCCATTGGTAAAGATGTCGCCTCAGTTTCAGTGGAGACTCCAGCTTTTTGGGGATGCCAGGACCATGGGATGACAAAGGACAGCAGTTAAGTGTGGAATGGAGCTGGCCTGGGTCTGCAAGATGAGCTGAGTGTGCTGTGGACTGCAGAGTCAGAGCAGTGGAGCAAGCCAGTAAGCAGCATTCCTCCATGGCCTGTGCTCCAGCTCCTGTTTCCAGGTTCCTGCCCTGAGTTCCTACCTTGGGCTCCCTGATGAACTACAACCTAGGCGATATAAGCTGAGTAAACCCTTTCCTCCCCAAGCTGGTAGTGGTCAGAGTGTTTTGTCAAAGCAATGAAGAAACAAACTAGGACAGAGCACTTACTTACATGTAGGCAAAATACTCAAACACATTAAATATGTAAACTAAAAAAAAAAAAGCTTAAAACTAGGATTCCTATCCTTCCCATTTGTGAAATGCCAGTTTGACAGGATAGATGCTGGTGTGTACTTCCCTGACAGGCCACTTTACATATTGCTTAAAATTATAGTTCCTATAGGCTTATTTTTAAATTTTTTATTTACTTATTTTTATTTTATGTGCATGAGTGCTTTGCCTGCATGTATTTAAGTGCACCCATGCCATGCAATGCCTGAAGAGGCCAGAAGAGGATGTCAGATCCCCCTGGAATTGGAGTTATGGACTGTTGGTTGTTAGCTGCCATGTGGGTGCTGGGAACTAGACCTGGATCCTTTGCAAGAATCAGTGCTCTTAAGGACTGAGTTATCTCTTTAACCCCTAGACTTACTTCTTAAGTTTTAAACCTGGAAAAAGAAAAAGCTGACTAAAATGAGGTGGGCATGGTGAGCATGCTTGTAATCTCAGCACTCAAAAGACTGAGGCAGTTCAAGGCTAGCCTGGATTCATATTGAGTACCAGGCCAGGCTAGGCTAAATAGAAAGAATGAACCTGGCTCAAAAATCTCAACCTCTTGTCCTCTCCCCAAAACAAGACTAAAATGAAAGATACAGGAAAATTTCGTTGAATTCCAACATACTAACAGTGGTCAGGCTTGATGGCACACATTTGCAATTCCAGCAATAGGATGGTGATCGACTACAAGGCCAGTCCTGGCAACGTGGTGAAACCATGGCTCAAAATAAAACTAAAGATTGGGATGTAGTTCAGAGGTAGAACACTTGCCAACTACACTTATGAAACTAAACTTATTCCCTAGAATTTCAGGGAGAGTGTTCCTTGGACTGTTAAAATGTTTGTGTCACGTGGCTTTTTCTTTTTATCTGACTTTTTCTCCCGCTTTATGACAGGGTCTCCCTAAAGAGCCCAAGCTCACCTTGAACTCTGAATTCTCCTGCCCCCAGCCTCCCAAGTGCTGGATAAAACTATAGGTGTGTAATACTGTGCCACTGCATTTTTCATTTCTGTTTTCACTGTATAGAAGCATCACTGAGTCCTAGGCCCCAGGTAGGTATTGCGTAGGTCTGATCTGCCACTTCTGTAATTAGAGAACCAGAATCTACTTGATTAGATTACTATGAGGACCAAAAAGGAAATACACACACAGCCAGGTATCTGCACATAACGAGCCCACTTACCACTGTGAATCATCATGCAATGGCACAAACATGACCTTCACAGCAAATTTATAAAGTTAAACCAATATACTGTATGTGTGCATATGTATGCATGTATGTACATAACATGAATACAACAGAGTAATTTATTATCTTTGCATATAAAAGGGTCCTAAGGTAAGAAAACACTCTCCTGCCTGGTAGTGGTTAAAAATCTCACCATCTAGTTCTAGAGTAGACTCTTCCTCCCCAGCACCTCAGTGGCAAGCAGTGGGCTTGCTCCTCTCAGCTGCCCAGCCCAGCCCAGCCCAGCCCATGGCTTAACAGAGCTCTGACCTCTGTTGACTCTTCTTGCTCATTGATGACTAGGAAGGCATCTTCTGCAGCCTGCCGTTTGACATCTGCTATGGTTTGCTCCATTCGTGCTCTCTCAGTTGCAATTACTTCAAAGGCTTTCTGCTCCGCCTCGGCTACAGCCTTCTGTACCTCTGACATGGCCTGAATTTTCACCTTATTCACAGCTTCTTCTGGAAGAAAGTGAGAGTAAAACCAACTGGCCAAGAAATCTTTTCCCTCCTAACTCACAGCATTTTTCCTTTTTGGCGGGGTAGGGTGAGAAGTTGGGATTTTAGATATAGGGTCTCACTATGTAGCCCTGGTTGGTATCAAACTGTGGTAATCCTCTTGCCTCTGCCTCCCAAGCAGTGGCACTACAAGCATGTGCCAACATGCCCAGCTAACCCACAGCATTTCTAAGGAAGAATAGAGTGAAAATAAGATATACAGGGGTGGATGTAAACATACAATCCTGTGTATTTTTACAAGTGCTCACCTATTATTCATGCAACTGTCTGCTAGGTACACATGGAGGGAAATATACCTAGCACTGAGAATACATGAGTGAGTAGAGAGCACTCATTCTCCTATTTGTGATCAAGTATACTAGTGGCTTAGGTACCATCTCATGTCACAATGAGAGACTAGAGTGTTAAGGAAAAAAGTGGTGAATTCTATAAGGAGCAGGAGGATCAAAAAATGTGTTTTACATGTCTTGTTTTCCAAAGAAAAGGTGAACTGCTGGGTGTGGTGGCGAATGCCTTTAATCCCAGCACTTGGGAGGCAGAGGCAGGTGGATCTCTGTAAGTTCCAGCCAGCCTGGTCTACATGGTGAGTTCCAGGCCATCTCAGGCTACAAGGAGATCCTGCCTCAAAAAGACCAAAAAAAAAAAGGAAGAAAATAAAAGGAGAAAAGATGACAACTGGAAAGCTGGGGCATGACCCAGCTGAGAGAAGAGGCTCTGAGTTTGCAAAGAGCATGGGGGGTGCGGGTGAGGAGTCAAAAAGAAGTGGAATCAGAAGTGGGCAGAACAAAAAGGGTCTGCATGTATAGTAAAGGAGGACAGTGGTAACGTTATGCAATGATATGGGTGACAGAAAAAGAGCAGGCAAGTGAGATGATTGAGGTGCTTAGAGGTGTCCAGATGCCAGTGATTAGGGGATACTTGGACCCTTGAAGATGAGCACTGTTGAGAAACATGGGCTGAAGATCCATATTTGGGCAGAATGCCCCAAATGCCTGGTTCTTGTCACTTCTTACATGATCCACCTTGCTTGGCTTCCATAGAGAAGACACTCCAAATACATGCTCTATGCATGTAGGCCTTAGACAATGGGAATGTAAACATAAAACACCTCTCATGTGAGTCCACAAGACTATACAAACTGGACCTGAAGGCACTCTCTAACAGACTGGCTCTTACACACAGCACAGGTTCAAAGGACTATTTAATAGTGTTCTAGGCTGCTTTGCTATTAGTTTCCACTTTATTGATTATGCCTTAAGAAAATCTTCATCCAGAGACAAGGACTTCAGACTTCTTTGTCTTAAGACATCTGCACAGTTCCATTAATGTAGCCTACCACAGCTATCCTCTTCAGCCTCTCACTACATTAGGTAGATTTGTGGGGATGGGAGTGAGACTGGGGGTAGGAGTGGAAAAAGGGTCTCATTAGGTAGCCCTGGCTGGCCTAGAACACACCAAGCTGGCCTGGAACCCAGAGATCTGTCTGCCTCTGCCTCCCAAGTGCTAGGATTAAAGGCCATGCCAGGCAATGTTAGGTAGGTTTGGAGTACATCTTATCTTCCCAGGTACATTTTATTGCCATAAATTAAGGACAAGTCAATTTTAAAATCATAGTTTGGATAGCTATCTTACTGGAGAGGAAGCACTGTAGCAGAGTGAGAACTTGGCTCTAGTTAGCCCAAAAGCAAAGTTGGGCATTTAACCACAGTTAAGAAATCTCCCAAACAGTCACTAGCTTTAAGGAGATTATGTATATAGTAATCTTTCCCTCTAGTTTATGGTGATTTTCTACAATTCTGTTTCATTTATTATCAATGTAATATACATTTTCTCGCTTCTAACATATAGCTTTCTAAACTGTTTAATGTAGCAAAATAACAGCTTGTTTTGGTATCAAATTATAAATGAACATGCCTGTAATTCCAGATACTCTGGAGGACATACAGAAGGATGTTGACATCAAGGTCAGCCTTGCCAACTTAGTGAGACCATGTCTTGAAATAAAATAAAGATTGGGATGGTATTTCAGGAGTGGAACACTTGCCAAGTGTACTCAAGAATCTGCATGTACTCACTGTTACTAATTGCATGCATACTCATTTGTGCATGTGATGAACACACGTCAGGGATGAATAAAGGCTGAACACATACACACACACTTTACCATTGAGCTGACAACCTCTAGTCCAAGAACAATCTTGAGTAAGATAGAGGCAGTAAAAGGAAGCTCAGAGGTATTAAAGACCTGTGCCAAGTTCGGAACTGGTGGAGATGGCTCAGTGAGTAAAGCAGGTGCCATTAAAACGTGAGGATATGAATTTGGATCCTCAGAACCCATATAAAGTTGGATGTGGTAGCATGCATCTGTAATCCCAGCGCTCCTACAGTGAGATGAGAGGTGGAAGTAGAGTTCCCAGAAGCTCCCTGCCAAGCTAGTCTGGCATAGGTAGTGGCAAACAGGAGACTGTCTCAGGGCCTAGAGGGAGCCACTACAAACTCTTGACCTTCCAGAGATCACAACAGGCAGTCTAGGAGATGTGTGCAATCAGCCAGAGGGAGAGGAGCAGGAGCCAAGTGCTCCATGAGAAGGATATTATTGGACAACCAAAAGGCCAGTTACCAGCATTTCCCCAGTATATGTTCCCAGCTTGCATAAACTAGTGAGCTCAGGCAGCCTACCAGCAAACAGATACATACCAGTTTTCTTCCAAAACTCCACAGGAACATATCCTGTTCCTGGCCTACTGGTGAATTCCCGCTGAGAATCTACATAAGAGAGACAAAATGCTGCCTTTTATTAACAGTTTTCAAACCCAAGTTCTCATACATGCGAGGCAAGAACTATACAAACGAGCCCTAGCTCTGACACAAAATTTCTTCTAATCAGATATCTGATTTACCACTTAGATTCAAACATGTATTCCGGCTTGATACAAAAAAACATTCTGAATAAGAGCTAGCATCAAATTATGAAACAGAATACTAAATTTTTACAAGTATATGTGTATGTATCTTTTTTGTATGTGATATTGAAGATCAAACCTAGGGACTGTACATGCTAAGATACATGAATTCACTACATCTTGATAGGGAATGAAGCTCCAGGTTTCATTATTCCTACATTATTCAGGCTGCTCTGGAATTCTGAAGTTCAGGCAAGCCTTGAACTCAGATCCTCATGTTGTAGTCTCTCGAGTAGCTGGATTTACAGATCTGTGCCAACAAGCACAGATGAAAAATTTACAACTTTCAGAATTAAAAACTGGGAAAAATTATCTTGAAATGTGAACACTGAAAATTTTCTAAGATAACACTAATTTATTAAAAAGTGTGCCTATTAGAAAATGGGGGAAGAGGCAGCACATCTACAATTTTATATTTCTGTATTATATGATCTTTTTTTTTTTTTTTAGGGTAGAGGAGTGGTGGCAAAGATAGGGTTTTACTATGTAGCTCAGGATGGCCTCAAACTCCAGATCTGCCTGCCTCAGCCTACACACTGCTGTTCTATGACCTTCTTACAGGTCAATTATTTTTAAAATAGCATTTAAAAACATTTAGAAGCTGGGGAGATGGCTCAGGGGTTAAGAACATGTATTGTTCTTGCAGAGGAGCTAAGTTTGAGTTCTAGTGCCCACGTTGAGTGGCTCAAAACTACTTGGAACTTCAGCTCCAGGGGATCCAATGCCTCTAGCTGATGCAGGCACCCATATGTATGTTCACATACCCACACACAGACACACATACATACACATAATCTAAAATAAAATAAATCTTTTAAAAATTTAAATATGAGTTGGTAAAATGACTCAGAAGGCAAGGAAGGGTACCTGTCACCAAGCCTTAACACATAAAACACTCAGTAAACACCTGTATGGGTGTTAACATGAAAAGTAATAATAGTCTGAAAAGTCAGAGAAGGAAACATGAGCACATAACAAAATGCAGTATCTGAAAAATATCATTTCAATTTTAACAGATAAAGGATAGGCTTATTTATTTATTTCCTTATTTAGTCTTTTTGATAGAGGGTCTCCCTGTAGCCCCAGCTGGCCTGGAACTCACTACATAGACCAGGCTGGCCTTGAACTCACAGAGATCCCCCTGCTTCTGCCTCCTGAATGAGTGCTGGGATTAAAGGTGTGCATTACCACATCCAACTTCTCATTGGCTTTTTAAAAACAATCACAGGGACCTGATTTTGATCCCTGGAACTTGCATAAAGGTTTGGAAGGGGAAGGAGATAATGGACTCCCCCAAGTTGTCTCTGGACCTCCACATATGGGCTGTGGCAAACTTATGTTCTCCAATAAATAAATGATACTTCAAAGAAAGCAATTACTCTTATTGAAAGCCTGGGTCTCAACTCAGATCAATTAAGTCGGAATCTCTGGAGGTGGGCCAGGATATTTAGTTTTCTCAAGGTTTCCAGGTGGGTTCTGATGGCAGATGGCATCTAGGGATTGAACTCAGCACTCCTGGTTCAGGGTCTTTCAAACCGCATCAGAACCATCATCTGTCTGTAGGGGTAGGGTGTGTGTGTGTATGTGTGTGTGTGTTTAAATTTTTACTTATTTTTATTTCTTATTTTTTTGAGACAGAATCTCCTAGCCTCAGCTGGCCAAGAATTCACTATGTAGACCAGGCTAGCCTCCATCTGCCTGCCTCTACTTCTGGAGTGCTGGGATGAAAAGTATGAACCACAAGACTTGGCTTATTTATTTTTAAAAATATTTTATTTACTATTTTTATTTTATGTGTATGCATGTATTGCCAGCATGTAAGTGCACCCATGACGTGCAATGCCTGCAGAGGACAGAAGAGGCTGTCAGATCCCCTGGAACTGGAGTTACAGACAGTTGTTAGCTGCCATGTGGGTGCTGGGAATCGAACCTGGGTTTTCTGCGAGAACAACCAGTGTTCTTAACTGCTAAGCCATCTCTCCAGGCCCGGCTTATTTATTTTTATGTGAATGAGTATTTTCCCTATATACACACATATATAAAGCGCGCGCGCGCGCGCACACACACACACACACATATGTGTGTGTGTGTGTGTGTGTGTGTGTGTGTGTGCCATGTGGGTGGAATGTCCATGGAGGCTGGAAGAGAATGTTGGGATCCCTGGGACTTGTGTTACAGATGGTTGTTAGCTACCATGTGGGTACTGGGAATTGAACTCGAGTCCTCTGTAAGAGCAGTCAGTGCTCTTAACTGCACAGCCATCTCTCTAGCCTCCTGTTTTTGAAGTTTTTTTGATCAAAGGAACTGGATTTTATGTTTTTGTTTCTTATGTTTTGTTTCTACATCCCACATAAAAAGGAGTCAACTGAAACCTGGCTCAAGAGCCATGGCTGTAGGTGAGGAGGGAGAGTGCAGCCCTTAGCTACTTAGGATAAGACACACATTATTAATGCTGGCATTCCTCAATCTTTTTCTTCCAGTCTTTTTGAGACTAACAGCTGCCTCTCTATGGAAAATGCTAGGACTGTCATAAGAAAAAATTCATTCTCTTTGATGAACATTTGGGAACTTAAAAGTGGGTGGGTGGAGAAAGTGTGATCACAGATGGCCTGTCATTCAGCTTTGCTTTTGGATAGGACACCTTTTCAGTTTTGGAGGGAAAGTGATGGAACATTTTGAAGGGAATAACTGGTTTCCTAGATGTACCCTTGGGAGAAGAGCTACTCAAATCTATGTTGCTTTAAGCTGGGAAAAGACAAGATAAAACAACCCAGCTGATGGAACAATCTTGGTCTGTCTAACCAAATTCTTTTTTTGGTAGGGGGAGGGGAGCCTTATTTTGAGATATGGTCTGCCTGTAGCCCCAGGTGGCCTGGAGCTTGCTATGTGGATAAGGTTGGCCTAGATCTCACAGAGATCCACCTGCTTCTGCCTTCTGAGGGCTGGGTTTAAAGGCGAGTGCTATCAGGCGCAGCTTGCTAACCAAAAAAAATTTTTTTTAAATGTGTATGAGTGTATTGCCTGCATATATGTGAGTGCACACGTGTCATGCAATGCTGAGGTCAGAAGAAGGCTTCGGATTCCCCTGGAACTGGAGTTAAGGATGGTTTGTAGCTGCCATGTGGGTGCTGGGAATCAAACCTAGGTCCTCTGCAAGAGCCCTTAACTGCTGCTCTTAACCGCTGGGCCATCTCTCCATCCCCTAACCAAATTTTTAAAAATATATATTTTGCCGGGTGTGGTGGCACACGCCTTTAATCCCAGCACTCGGGAGGCAGAGGCAGGTGGATCTCTGTGAGTTCAAAGCCAGCCTGGCCTACATAGTGAGTTCCAGGACAGGTGGGGCTACAGGGAGACCCTGTCTCCAAAAGAAATATTTTTATTTTACGTGTATGCATGTATTGCCTGTGTGTAGGTAAGTGCACCCTGTCGTGCAATGCCCTTGGAGGACACAAGAGGCTTTTGGATTCCCTGGAACTGGAGTTACAAACAGTTGTTAGCTGCCATGTGGGTGCTGGGATTTGAACCCAAGTCTTCTCAAATAACCACCAGTATTCTTAACCACTGAGCCATCTCTCCAGCCCCTCTAACCAATTTTTTTTTTTTTTTTTTTTTTTTTGTCTTTTTGAGACAGGGTCTCCTTGTAGCCCCAGCTGTCCTGGAACTCACTATGTAGACCAGGCTGGCTTTGAACTCACAGAGATCCACCTGCCTCTGCCTCCCAAGTGCTGGGATTAAAGGCGTGTGCCACCACACCCGGCATAACCAAATTTTTTGAAGGAAGCCACCAGATATCGAAGGGGAACTGGGAAAGAGGAAGCAAAGTGCAGTGAATATTTTCATGGAGGAATACTGTAAGAAACAAAGAGAAACCATTAAAGTACCTAGCTGTGACATGCATACTGTTCTTTCTCTCTTTTTCCTTCCCTCTTCCCCTCTCTCCACCACCCCTTCAGATAGTTATAGGCAAGTACTCAATCATTAAGCTACATCACAGTTACTATATGTTAATTTTCACCAGGTTTCTGGTTCCTCCCCCCAGGTAGGCCATAGAAACTTGAATTTCTCTTCCCCAAGACAAGTGCCAGAAACTCTTGCCTTCACCCCCAGCCCCTAACAAACCTTTCAGTATTGGACTGGCCTTGAAGAAATCCTATCACATGCGAGTGTGGCAGTGCAGGTCTTTATTTAATCCCAACACTTAGGAGGAAGAGGCAGGCAGATGTCTGTGAGATTGAGGTAAGCCTGGTCTACACAGTGACCAGCTGGGGTTAGAGGGAGAACCTATCTCAAAACAAAACAAACAACAACAAAAGAAATTTTTTTATTACTTGTTGGGTGTGGTGGCTCATGTCTATAATCCCAGCACTAGGGAGGCAGAGGCAGGAGGACTGCAGCAAGTTTGGGGCTGGCCTGGGCTACAAACTAAGACTGTCTCAAAAATCAAACCCAATGATAACAAGAATGTTTGAATCTACACTTGTTTGGTAATAGGTGGTAAGACCGTCTTCATTCTGGAGGGGTCCTGTCTGAACAAAGTAATCCTGCAGAAAAGCCAAAGAACACAGATGCACACAAGCCTTCCCAGGTCTCCATCCAGTCTACTGTAATTAAATCTCCAATGACAGGATTCAGAAAGCTCCTGGTTAGCTGAACACGTGGAATTTGTGAATGTGGCAGATGCAGAGAAGCTCTGCATCCCTTCTCCCATACCTTATCTTTGGAGTTTCTCATGTGTCTGAGCAACCTGAGCAAATTAGTCAAACCTAAGGCGAGAGATGGGGGGAAGCTTAGTTGAGAACCAATGGTCAGAATCTGGGGCTTGTGACTAGCTTCTAAAGTAGAGGGGAAACACTTGGTGACAAACACCTTTAATCCAAGCAACTCAGGAGGCAGAGGCAGGGGGATCTCTGAGATCAGGGTCAGCCTGGTTTACATAGTGAATTCTAGGCTAGTCAGAGCTACATAGTGAGACACTGTCTCAAACAAAACAATGAAAGTGGACGGGATGGGGCAGTAGGATGGTTCAGTGGATAAAGGCCCTTGCAGGATCCCGAAGACCTGAGTTTGATCCCTGGAAATCACATGGTGGGTGGGGTATCAACTGCTGTAAGTTGTTTTCCAACCTCTACATACATGACATGGCATGTAACCCCCGCAACAAAAGTTTAAACAAATTAAACATAAATGAATGGGAAAGCAAAATGGTTCAGTGAACTAAGGATATTTGCTACCAAGCCTGATGCCCAATCTCTGGGACCACATGGTGGAAGGAGGTAACCAATTCCCTCTACAAGTACGGTACACACACACACACACACACACACACACACACACACACACACACACAGACACACACACCACAAACAAATAAATTTTAAAATGCAAAAAAAATTAAGGACTAAACAATGGATTTTCCTTTAAAAATGTTTTAAAAGCTTTTTAATGTAAGAAAATGGATGAAGTCATGAAGACTAAGCCATTAGGTCTTTTTGAGACAGGGCCTCCCTGTAGCCCCAGCTGGCCTGGAACTCACTATGTAGACCAGGCTGGCCTTGAACTCACAGAGATTTGCTTGCCTCTGCCTCCCGAGTACTGGGATTAAAGACATGCACCTCCAAACAGACAGAATGGAATAGGCTTAGAGGATCCCTACATAGCAGGTATACCCTGATGTAGGATGCAGGTAGGAACAGATCTGCACTTTATTTTAGCCGGGCATGGTGGCACACGCCTGTAGTCCCAGCACTTGGGGAGGCAGAGGCAGGCGGATCTCTGTGAGTTCAAGGCCAGCCTGGTCTACATAGTGAGTTCCAGGACAGCTGGGGCTACAGAGAGACCTTGCTTCAAAAAGACAAAAAAATAATAATAATTTTTTTTTTTAAGTCAGGCATGGTGAAGTATGTGAAGAAGTTCTCCTAAAGATGGCAGGGACTGAATATTCCATTTATTTTTCTTTTTAGTCTTCATAATAACCCAAGTCTTCCTAACTTCACAATTCAGCACCACCTTCCTTTAAAGTAAATTAGACTTGCTTGCCACAGGTGGTGCTATGTGCTTGCAACTCCATCACTTGGGAGGCTGAGGCAAAAGGGCTAAGAATTGGAGACCAGCTTCAGCTATACAGTAAGACCTTGTGTCAAAAAAGAAAAAAAGCAAAAACAACGCAAACAAAAACCATCACTGATTAAACAAACAAAAACTCAGATTTGCCATTTTAGGAAGGCTGCAGTTCATTCTGGCCATTGCCCTCCCCTCCTTACCGTTGCTCAGAGAATCTGTACTCCCAGGGCTGTGCTGCCTAGAGACTAGCTCTGTCCCAGTTTTTCTCATCTCTGTGTTTTCATTAAATCGTCTTTTCCAGTAGTTGAGTTCTTCACGATCAGATTCCTGACAGCGTCTCAGAACTGCCATGGAGCGCCTTGTTTTTTCTACCATTTCCATAATGCAATTCAGGGCCTGAGCCAGAAAGAAAGTCAGATGGAGAAAAGATAAGGAAAGTCAAAGCAGGAACACTGAAAATCAATGAGGAAAGTCAAAGCAGGAACACTGAAAATCAAGGATAGGTAACTATAACAGGGGAAAAAGGGTGGTAGATTTTACAGGCTTAGGTATAAATTTTACAATTTAAAGCCAATCTTAGACCTTCTTGTTAAATATATACACCCACTCTTTCCTATCCATGGAGCACTGACTCTAGGACCCAAAGTAGATAAAAGTTCTAAGTGTTCCAATTCTTTTTATAAAATGATAAAGCATTTGCATTTATTCCATGTACCTCTACCCAGACACTTAATCATTTCTCATTGTTTATAAACAAATCAGTGTTTATAATACCGAAATGCAATATAAATGCTATTTAAGTAGTTTTTAAGGAAAAAAGTCTTTTTTAAAAAAATTTATTATTTTTATTTCATGTGTATTCGTGTACTGCCTGCATGTAGGTGAGTGCACCCGTGTCGTGCAATGCCCGTGGAGGTCAGAAGAGGCCGTTGGATCCCCTGGGACTGGAGTTACAGACAGTTGTTGGCTATTATGTGGGTGCTGGGATTCAAACCTGGGTCTTCTGCAAGAATAACCAGTGTTCTTAACCGTTGAGCTATCTCTCCAGGCCTGGGAAAAAATCTTTATAGGGACGAGTGAGATGATTCAGTGGGAGTTGAGTAGGGTGGGGGTTGTCTGTGGTGCCAAGCCTGATAACTTGAGTTTCGTCTCTGGAACCCACAGGGTGGAAGGAGAGAACTAACTTCTGTAGGTTGTCCTCTGACTTAATGTTAACTTTAATGTGCTGGGCATAGTGGTGCATACCTTTAATCCCAGTACTCGGGAGCAGAGGCAGGTGGATCTCTGTGAGTTCAAGGCCATCCTATTCTACATAGTGAGTTCTAAGCCAGCTGGGGCTACAAGGAGACCCTATCTCAAAAAGACCAAAAATAAATAAATAAATAAATAAATAAATTAATTAATTAATTAAAAAAATGTTAACATGTTCACTGTGGCAAAGGCAAACCTATATACAGACTCCAAATAAATAAAAAGAAAAAAAGAAGAAAAAAGAGGGGCTGGAGAGATGGCTCAGTGGTAAGAACACTGGCTGCTCTTGCAGAGGACCCAGGTGTGGTTCCCAGTGCTCATGTGGTGGCTAACAACCATCTGTAACTCCAGATCCAGGGGATTCAATGCCCTCTTCTGACCTCTGTGGGTACTATAAAACATGGGTGTACCTACCTACATGCAGGCAATACACTAATACACATAAAAAAATAAAAAAAGCTAACATACGTAACCTTATATAAAGAGACTCAAAGATACTTAAAAAAAAAAGAGTTGAGGTCTGATGGCTCACACCTATGGAAAGCACATGAGAGGCTGAGATGGGAAGACAGTCATGAGTTCAAGGCCAGCCTGAGCTAGATGTGAGACTGTCTCAAAAATCCGGAAAGGGCCAGCAAGATGGTTCATCTGGCAAAGGTGCTTGCTCAAAAACCTAATGACCTGAACTTGATCCCTAGAATCCATGTGCAAGGAGAGAACCAATTCCCAAAAGGAGTCCTCTAATCTCCACACTTGAGTCATGGCATGTACACATTAAAATAAATTTAAAAAACAAACACCACTCCCAGCCAAGTAAAACAAACAAAAGAGAACTAAAAGTAATAAAGAATTAGGGAAATTAAACATGCTAAGATTCTTACATGATCAAGATGTTTCCATTCATCAGCCCATTCCCTTTCTGTCAACCGGTGGTCCACCAACTCATCTTGATAACCTCCATTGAGACCTATTAGAAATTAAGAGATTCAATTGAAAGACTATAGAATAATTAAATTCTATCAAGTGTACACAGTCATGTCAACTGAGAACACACTATTTAAGGGAATAATTTACACAAAATGGCATAACCAATAAAGGATTGATATTAAAATTAAAGCACTCCAGGAACTGGGGGTGTAGTTTGGTGGCAGAATGCTTACAACATACTAGCTCCTGTGTGCCATCCCCACCACTTCAGAGGCAAAGCCCAAAACTCTTAATAATCAACTTAATAATCAATTGCAAAAGACAAATATTCCAAAAGAAAAGCATTAAGATATAAAGATTGTAACAGAAAAGGAAATGCAGATAGTTCATAAACATGAAAAGACAGTCAATGTCATAAACAAGGATTACAAATGCTTGAGATAGCATTTACCAGTCAACATATGGGACAAAATATCAGAAACACTGTGTTTGGCTGGGTATGGTGGCACACACCTATAATCTTAGCACATGGCAAGTAGAGGCAGGAGAATCAGAGTTTAAGGCCAATCTTGGCTGTGTTGCAAGTTCAAGGCTAGCCTGAGCTACTTGAGACTCCATCTCAAATAAACAGAGAAAATGTTATGTGTTAAGAAAGATTTAGTACAATGCAAAATTAAAGCCATGGTGTACTGGCAAAAGACTAATATTGCATTATTTGATAAACACAGAGTTTCTACAAATTACCAGAAGTGAACAAGAGTACACAATCAAGAGTGCACAGAAGTAGCAGTTGGTCACTGTTTAAACCCCATCGTACATTATGGCAGCACTACTCAGTCACTGAATTAACACTCCTAATGTCAGTCTGACTTTACGGGGGGGGAGCATGTGATGCTTTGGTGAGGGCTGAGAACCATTATAACAGGGCAGACATTTATAATTATGTCTGATAATAATTAAAGTATCTGCAATGAGCCTGGCACACAAAGTATCAAGGCAGGTGAGTCTTTCAAAGTATACTTCAAGATGAACATAGATTTTTTTTTCCCCTCCTAAAATTATTAGAAATACAAGTAAAATCTGACAAGATAAAGTTACAGCTACTTTTTAGCATTTTTTGTTCTAAACAGGCAAAACTGTATGAATAGAAAAAAGCATAGTTGAAAAGCATAGTTGAAAAACAAAACAGCTGGGCTTGGTGGTGTACACCTATAATCCCAGCACTCGCCTATAATCCCAGCACTCAGGAGGCAGAGGCAGGCAGATCTCCGTGAGTTTGAGGCCAGCTTGGTCTCCATAGCAAATCCAGGCCAGCTAGGGCTACAAGGAGACCCTGTCTCAAAAAGACAAAAAAAACAAAAAACAAAAAACCCAAAACTATTTTATTTATTATTTTTATTTCAATTGCTGAGCCATCTCTTGAGTCCCCCCATCCCCAAGCCTAGGATTTTTTCTTTTTTTTTTTGGCCTTCTTGTGTCAGGGCCTCCTTATAAGCCCTAGCTGGCCTGGTATTCACTATGTAGACTGGGCTGGCCTTGAACTCAGAGATCCTCCTGCCTCTGCCACCCAGAGTGCTGGGATTAAAGATGTGCACCACCATGCCTGGCAAAAAGGCTAGTTTAAAATTTTTAATTTATTATTATTATTGTTGTGTGTATCTGTGTATGGCTGTGGAATCACTTTTCTACATCCACCTTTATATGAGTTCCAGGAACCAAACTCAGGTCTCCAGGCTTTTGTGGTAAGAGCCTTTACCCATTGGAGGCTGAAGAGATGGCTCAGCAGTTAAGAGCACTGGTAGGGCAGCTCTTTCAGAGGACCTGGGTTTGATTCCCAGCACCCACATGGCAGCTAACCACCTTCCACAATTCCAGTTCTAGGGGAATCCAACACCCTCTTCTGACCTCCACAGGCACTGCATAACACAGTACACTTATGTACATGCAGGCAATATACTCAATACACATAAAATAAAAATTAAAAAAATATTAAAATAATAAAGAAAAATATTTTGATTTTTTGGTCTTTTGAGAAAGTGTCTCCCTGTAGCCCCAGCTGGCCTAGAACTCACTATGTAGACCAGGCTGGCCTCGAACTCACAGAAATCTGCCTGCCTCTGCCTCCCGAGTGCTGGGATTAAAGGTATGAGCCACTCTGCCCAGCCCTTATTATTTTGATTTTATGTGTATGTTTTGCCTCCATGTAAGTGCACCACATATGTGCAGTGCCCATGGAGGCCCAAAGAGGGCATTAGATCCCATGGAACTAGAGTTAAAGGCTGTTGTTAGCCACCATGTGGGTGCTGGGAACCAAACCTGGGTCCTCTGCAAGAGCAGCCAGTGTTCTTAACCACTGAGCCATCTCTCCAGCCTCAGGTCTAGTTTTTCAAAGACTTAAATAAAGAAGTATGAGAGAATAAGTTCTAGAAGCTAAGAAAGGAAGTAGTGTCTGCTGCCAAAGTTCCTAACCTCTGGAACCAGGGAGCTGGGATCTGAATCCTGTCAGTACCACTTACTAGCTATGTGACATTGACTACAGTTGCTATGTATCTTGTCTGTATAAAGGAAAAAGTAACTGCCTAGACCTTCTGGAAGGACTGAAGTACTCAGTAAATGCTAAAGACTAAGACTCCAGCTTTCATAGCCTTTATTATTCAGAATGGACTACAAGAAGCTTGCAGCTCAAAGATGCTAGTGAACTTAAGTTGGACTGGGAAGGAGAAAATGTGTTCTCCATAGGGTACCTCCACGAGTGGAAATGCAGGGGAAACCCTAGAAGGTGGGAGACTTTTGGTTCTCTGTTCTAATAGATGCTGGGCAGCTAAACCCCAAAGATTCTTCTGTAGAAAACCTGTGGGAGTATGTGACAAAAAAGGGCTCTTATGGCATAGTGGCACACACCTTCAATCACACTCAGTAGACAGAGGCAGCCAGATGTCTGTGAGTTACAGGGCAGCCTGGTCTACATAGCAGGTTCCAGGCCAGGTGGGATTATAGGGAGACCCTGTTTCAAAAATCAAAAAAAAATAACAAAAAACAATTTTTTTCAAAACTGGTCTCAGATTAATGTTGTGTTCTGTTTTTGTTTCCTAAAATGGTAGTCTTGTCAGGTGTGGTGGTGCATACCTTTAATTCTAGCATTTGGGAAGCAGAGACAGGCGGATCTCTGTGAGTTCAAGACTAGCCTGCCCTACATAGTGAGTACCATGCCACTTGGAGCTAAAGGGAGACCCTGTCTCAAAAAAGACCAAAAAAAGGGGAGTCTTTATTTTTATTTTATGTGTATGAGTATTTAGCCTACAAGTATATAAGCGCAACACGTGCAAGCAATGCCCACAGAAGCCAGACAAGGATCCCTTGAACAGGTGTTATGGACAGCTGTTAGCTGCCATGTAGGTGCTGGGACCTAAAGGAGGGCCTCTTCAAGAGCAATCAGTCCATCTCTCTGGCCCTCAAGAATACATATTCCTTCTTGTGAAACCTTTAATTTTCTTGACAATGCCTCATGTAGCTTTGGCTAGCCTGAAACTCATCATGTAGACCAGGCTGGCTTTGAATTTGTGGTGATCCTCCTTTCTCTGCCTCCTGACTTCAAGGATTACAGATATGTATCACCATGCCTAGCCCATTCTTGTTTAACTTTTTGTTTTTGAGATGATCTTATACAGCTCTGCTTGGCCTTCAACTTCATATATAGCTTGAGGATAACCTTGAACTTCTGATCCTCCTGTCTCAAACTCCAGAGAATTGGAATTACAGGAATATGCCACCATGCCCAGATATATAACAATATCTTATCAACAGGGAAAAGGCAATGATAATATTAACTGACTTTATCACTGAGTAGGAAAGAAATCCAAAGAATCCCTCCAGATTTAAAGTATTGCACATGGTGTTGAGGTCACTTACTAAGATTGTGGTGCCTCTCACGAACTTCTCGATGTTCTAGCATCTTGTTAGGCTCCCGATACAGGTGAGAAGTTGCAATGTCTTCTAAAGTATAATGCTGAAGAGGTGGAGGAGTAGGATGAAACTGGCCCCCAGGATTCATTAGGGGCACAGTGAGGGCAGGACTGTGCCGAGGAGCAGGGCTTATAGTACATACTCTTTTGGCAGGAGGTTCAGGAGGAATTGCATCTCTTTCAAAATTACTCTCTTCCCTCCTGTAGAAGAACCAGAAGTGCTTATATGAGCCTGTCAGCAAGTGTTCATGCCAGCACTTGATGAGCACTACTTTCTGCCCCATGCACTTTCTGAAGCAGGAAGACTGTAAGGAAAGGTTATTTATTTATTTATTTATTTATTTATTTATTTATTTATTTATTTTTGGTGCTGTACACACATGGTAAGTACATGTTCTATCACTGACCTGTGCCCTCAGTCCTTATAATGTTTTGCTTACTGCCCTTTTTTTCTTTTTGGAAATTAGGCTGGCCTTCATCCAAACTCTAGCAATACCTGTATTTCAGCTCCTGGAGTATCTGTGATTACAGGCATGTGCATCTGCACACAGCCCAGGAATAGTTTAACAATAGGGATGAACTGAACTTTCTTAAGGCTAATTTGTAAAATGTTTCTTTTTTCCAGCATGAAAAGGAGATTATCAATCGTTCCATAACCAGGCAGACCATCTAATCCTCATGAGGGAAAAGACAGACTACATAAAGGACAGCACTTTTCCTTTATAAGAAATACAGAGGGTTGCAAGTTCAACAATGTTTAGAACTTTTTTTAATAAAAAAAAAAACCTTTATGTGTATAGGTGTTTTGCCTGCATGTATGTAGGTGTACCACATGTATGCAGTGCCTACAGAGGCCAGAAGAGGATGTTAAATCCCCCTAGAACTGGAGTTACAGTTGTTGTTAGCTGCCATGTGGGTCCTGGAAATCAAACCTCAGTCCTCTAGAAGTGTAAGTGTTTTTAATCGCTGAGCCATCTCTCTAGCCCTGTTTGGAATGTTTTAAGGTCAAGTGTGTCACTATAAAGGTAAGTTATTGAGAAGAAACAACTGTCCTGTGATTTGGTAGGGTTTTTAATTATTCAGCTTCAAATGTAATAAATTTTCTACAGCTGTTCATAATACTGTTTCCTTAATGCCTCATGGAATACTGTGGGAACCACTTTATCCTGTTTCCTGACATACAAGTACTACAATCCTTAGAATCTTCAAAGTGCTAAATCTAACAAGCTAGCCGAAGGCTAACAGTTAAGGACCAAGGCAGGATTAGAGAGGGCTTAGACTTTTAGCCCCACAATCTCACCTCCAGGGAGGCGAGCTGGGCCAAAGGATAAGTTGATCACCAGATGGCCAAAGATATCATCAAGCACACCTATGTAATGAAGCTTCCACAAAAACCCCAACTGGCTCGGGGGCTGGAGAGATGGCTCAGCGGTTAAGAGCAGTGACTGCTCTTGCAGAGGACCTGGGTTCGAGTCCCAGTACCCACATGGCGGTTATGAACCGTCCTTAACTCCAGTTCCAGAGGAATCTGAAGCCCTCTTCTGACCTCCTCGGCATTTCACAACAAGGGTGCACTCACATGCAGGCAATATGCTTATACACATAAAATAAAAATAAAAAAACAAAACAAAAACAAAAAACAACCCCCAAACAGGCAAGGGTGTCAAAGAGTTTTGGGGATGGGGGGTGGGGCAGTGGTGGTACCTGCTAGTCCTAGCACTCAGGAGGCAGAGGCAGGTGGATCTCACATCTTAGAGATCGAGGCCAGACCGGTCTACATAGCAAGTTCCAGGCCAGCTGAGGCTATAGGGAGACCCTGTCTCAAAAAAAAAAAAAAAACCAAAACCAGAGTTTCTAGAGAGGTGAACAGTGTTCCCCATACCTTGCCATTTACCCTGTGAATATCCTTAATAATAAGTCAGCAAATGCTAACGTTCCACAAGTTCTGTGAGCCACTGGAATAAAATTAATCAAATCTGAGAAGAGGTTTATAAAAAGACCAATTTGCAGACCATCAATGAGAAAGAGAGCAAAGGGGGCATGGTTATTTGACTAGAAAACATTCACATTCACAATCTGAAACCTGTGATTGGCATAAGAGAGGAGGGGTCAATCCTGGGGGTTCCTTCCACATCTGTTCAAAGATCTTTTTTGCTGACTGCTGAGTGAGAGAATAAGAGAACTGAGTGTTTTTGTTTCTGGAGCAGTAAACCCATTTAAGCTCTCAGGCAGAACTCCTCACCAGGAGTGTGCAGTCACTTGAAGAGCTGTTGGGACAAAGGTAAACTAACCTTGGAAAGTCTGAGACATTACCTTTCCATAACCCCAGGAATCAACTCTTCTTTCTCTTACAAGCAGTGTGGTTCCAGAAGAACAAGCACATATTTCTTTTCTGCTCACCTTTCCGGACTGGGCCTCTTTCCATTTCCATGAACCTCCATGAGCAGCTCAGAAGAGTCGGCAGGAGATGCAATACTGGTGTTGAGCAGAAGGTGCTCGTGCTGCGCCAGGTATTGGGATGGGGTCTGCTTGGCAGCCCGAGCACAGTGCAGCAGTTCCCGCTGCAGCAGGGGCAGGTTGGCCTTGAAAAGAAACAGGCAGTTTTCCCATCTGCTGAGTCTACCTAATAGAGATTAGCATCTCAAAGTGTTCTCAAAAAGCAGGAACTCAAACAAAAGCCCTTTTTGCTTTGTTCCTCCAACAGTTACCAAAAAAGTGACATTACTTGGGTTAATAGTTGGCTTGTTTCTTCCCCCAGGAAGATGTCAATCCCCTTAAAAAAGGGACTGCATCTTCTTTACCTTTGTGGCCTAGTACAGAGTCAAAGCTCAATTAACAGTTTGTTGAAGAAATAATTTAAAAACATACATTTTTCAGCAATGTGTTTTGAGTCTGGGAAATAGGGCCTTGGGCCAAATACATGCAAGGCAAACACTCTACATCTCTAGCCTCAAAACACATTTTTTTTTGAAGACTGGTCAGTTAGAGAATTACTACTGCCTAGAAAGAAGAGGCAGAAAACTCTTCACCCCAAGCCCTGGTTTCTCTCCAAATCCGCAACCCATTGCTCAGAGTAGAACTCAATCTTCCCTTGGAATTCTAGAACCAGGTTTACTCTGAAACCTGGGGTTTAAAAAGCCCCGGGAGGGGCTGGAGAGATGGCTCAGTAGTTAAGAGCACTGACTGCTCTTGCAGAGGACCCAGGTTCGATTCCCAGCACCCACATGGTGGCTACGAACCGTCCTTAACTCCAGTTCCAGGGGAATCCAAAACCCTCTTCTGACCTCCACGGCACTGCACGACACGGGTGCACTCACATACATGCAGTCAATACACTCATACACATAAAAATAAAAAAATAAATAAATAAAAGCTCCAGGAACAATGTGATCTGTAGAAGGAAAATTACATGCTAATGTTTTCTTCTTTCTCATACTAAGAAAACTTTTAGGGAGAGAAAAAAAATCCCTATACATCGTTCAAACTAAATAATTCAAATTCTTTCATATGTAAAATTTACTTTTCCCAGGTCTTTGTGAGACAGGGTCTCCCTGTAGTCCCACCTGGCCTGGAACTCACAGAGATCTGCCTGTCTCTGCCTCCTGAGTGCTGGGATTAAAGGTGTGCACCACCATGCCTGGACTCCCAGATTTCTTTTTTTTTTTAATTTTTAAGTGTATGTGTGTATTGCCTGTATGTAGGTAAGTGCACCTGTGTCATGCAATGCCTGTGGCGGACTGAAGAGGCCGTTGCATCCCCTGAAGGTTGTTAGCTGCCATGTGGGTGCTGGGATTCGAACCCAGGTCTTCTGCAAGAACAGCTAGTGTTCTTAACCGCCGAGCCATCTCTCCAGCCCTCCAGATTTCTTTTTATAAAGAATTATGTTTTTCCTCCCCCAATTTAAACAGGACCCAGAGCAAGCTTGTAATAAAAGCCTTTATCTGCAGGGATGGCCGAGCAAGTGAAAGGAGCGTTTAGACACGTGGAGTAGTCACTTCACTGACGGTGCCGTAATTAATGGCTGTTTTAAAGCAGAAATAAATTGACAAAACCTCAAATGCTAGCCAAAAAGCTGATGTAACAACCTACCTCATTCTGTTTTTTCCAAATAACAGTTAAGAATAGAGAATATGGCCGGGCAAGGTGATGCACGCCTTTAGTCCCAGCACTCAGGAGGCAGAGGCAGGCGGATCTCTTTGAGTTCCCAGCCTGGTCTACATAGTGAGTTCCAGGCCAGGTGGGGCTACAGGGAGACCCTGTCTCAAAAAATAACCCCCCCCCAAAATAATAGAGAATATGACAATATGAAACACTTCTTAAGTCTATTCTATAAACTCAATCTTCTTACAACTGCAAAACTTAATTGAAAAAACATGTCAGATCTTTACATTTGTGACATGTATCCTTTAGTTACAGAAAAAATGGTAATTATGTTCTGTTAACACAAATTTCAAAAGTTTTTCTTGATTCTATACTCTCAATGAGTAACTATATACAGGCTCTGACATACAGAAAAAACCAGGACCCAAGTAGCATAGCTGTTCTAGAGCTGACAAAGTCCAGAGTGCTTTGAACCAGCCAGGCCTCTGTGCTATTAAAACAGAGCCATACACAGGCTTACACACCTTGCAACTGTGCATCTTCCTGGATGCTTGCTATGCTACAGTTCAAAATGTTTTTAAGAACTGAAAACATGGCTGGAAAGATGTCAGTGTTTAAGAGCACTGGATGCTCTTACAGAGGATCTGGGTTCGATTCCTAGCACCCACATGGCAGCTAGAAACTGTAACTCCAGTTCCAGGGGATCTGATGCCTTCTTCTGACCTCTGTGGGCATTTGCACAACACGGATGCACTTACTTGCAGACAGGTAATACATTCATACACATGAAATGAAATGAAATGAAATGAAATGAAATGAAATGGACACTTGGCAAGAAGACACTGAATATCTCTAATTTCAGCACTTGGGAGGCTGAAGCCCTTGGAGCATGGCAAGTTCAAGAACCAGCCTGGGCTACATAATGAGGCCATGTGTCAAAGAACAAAAATAAAATAGTATTATTACTTTAATAAGAGAATAAACATTGTTTTGATGCTTTAACATTTTCTTGGTTACCCCTAAGACAGAAGGTTAAAGACTCTTGCCAAGCCAAATGTGATCCTGAGGACATACATGGTAGAATCAGAGAACCAACTCCTCCAAGTTCTGCTTTGACCTCCACACACAGGCCTGTGGCATAAGCCCCTCCCAATAAATAAATAAAACCTTAGAAACATTTCCTTAGGAAACAAAAGTAAGTTAAAAGAGAGCAAAAAAATCGTATATTTAGCTGGGCATGGTGGCACACACCTTCAATCCCAACACTCAAGAGGCACAGGCAGGCAGATCTCTGTAAGATCAAGGCAAGCCTGATCCACAAAAGGAGTCCAGGTCAGCTGGGGCCACAGGGAGACCCTGTCTCAAAAAGGCCAAATGAGAGGGGAGCATATTTATTTCCAGATAGTATCAGACTGCTAAGAAGCAGAATTAACAATACAAATATTGTGCTGGAAAAATTCAAGCTACATGAAGTGAGCATAATTTTTTGTTTTTTGAAAATACCAATTTACTTAAAAAACAAAACAAAACAATTTGCTACCAAAAACAATAAGATTTTTTCTTCAGGGAGAAGGGATACTATTTGGCTTGGCTGAAATTCAAGCTGGTATTCTCTAGCACTAAATCAAATGCCAATGTTCATTTGTATAAAGCTTAATTTCACAAAACTGTGTTTGGCTAGATTTGGGTCAGTTTATTCAGTTTAGTAGAAAACAAAACTCTGATTCTAATCTTTTACTGCCTTTGAGCTGTTCCTAACAGGGTAACTTACAGATAACAAATTAACTGCCACCTTTGGCATACAAATTACTTCTACAAGAAGAGATAGTCTGTGTTTGCACAGTCTTCATCAATAATTGTGATCTATGGGACTGCAGAAATGTCTCAGTGATTAAAAGCACTAAGACCTGACACCCTCTTCAGGCCTCTACATGTACCCATACACACAGAGGACACATATACACATAAACAAAAAAATTTAAAAATTTTTGTTTTTTTGGTCTTTTGAGATAGGGTCTTCCTTTAGTTCCAAGCTGGTCTTAAACTCAGAGATCTGCCTGCTTTTGCTGGGATAAAGGCGTGAGCCACCACACCCAGCATAACAATAATAATTCTTTTTTGAGGGGGGAGTCCCAGCTGGCCTGGAACTCACTATGTAGACCAGGCTGGCCTTGAACTCACAGATCCCACCCACCTCTACCTCCTGAGTGCTGGGATTAAAGGCATGCACCACTGTGTCTAGCTCAAAAATAATTCTTAAAAAATATTAAAAGGGCTGGAAAGATGGCTCAGCAGTTAAGAGCACTTAGTGTTCTTGCAGATGACCAGAGTTTGGTTCTCAGCACCCACATCAGGCAGCTTGTAACTCTATTTCCAGGGGGATCCAATCTAGCCTCCTCAAACAGGTGCACATATAGACAGATGCAGGCATTCATACATACTCTTAAAATGAAGATAAGTAAACCTTTAAAAAAAAATCCAATTGTGAACTATGAATGTATCTGTTATTTGGAGTTTCCTTTGAACTGGCTGTGACATCTTACTGATTCCTTCATTAATCATTTATCAAATATAATATCTGATAGGTGCTCATCTTATTTTGAAAATAATCTATTATTATTATGCTTTAATTTGGCAGTGCTACCTAGGGTCTTGTGCATCACAGGCAGGTTATTATATCACTGAGTTACATTTCAATCCCTGGTAGTGTTTTTGTTATTGTTTATTCTTTTAGACAGGATCTCCTTATAGTCTGGGCTGGCCTTGAACTTGTCATCCTCCTGCCTCAGCCTCTTAAGTACTGGGGTTGCAGCTGTGTGCTGCTGCCAAGTTGGAAAATAATTATCTTACCAGGGAAAACAGTAACTATATAGTGGAAAAGCATGGCAGACAATCAACTTCACCAAGTAGTAAAAAATTATATGACCCATAATGGAACAAATTATCACCCATGTCAGCATGCAGTGATACCACTTACAGCAATTCTTTCTTCGGAAGTGTAGGGTTAAGGAGATAATTATTTTTTGTCTTTGAGATAGTCTTGCTATTGTAGCCTCAGCTAGCCTGGAAATAGCTATATATATATCAGGCTGGCCTCGAATTACGGGGTACTGGGAAAATAGGCATATACTACTATTATACTCACATATCTGCAGTTTCTAACTGAAGTGTATCAGTGGAGTCTAAGGAGTCAAGGAAAGGAAGAGCCAGAACAAAACAAACTGATGTATGCTCTATATAGTAATCTGTACCCCTCAAAACTGTAAAGCTCTTGGGGCTGGAGAGGTGGCTCAGAGGTTAAAAGCATGTGCTTTCTTGTAGAGGACCGAAGTTTGGTTCCTAGCACTCCCATTGTGGTGGTTCACAACTGTCTGTAATGCCAGCTCCAGGATTAACACTCACATACACATAGACATAATAGAAATCAAATCTTTTCTAAAAATCATTTAAAATCACAAAACTCATTAATAAGAAAACTGTTCCAGATTAAAGTTAACTAGAGAGACCCAACAACTAAATGCAACATGTAACCATGATTAAATACAGACCCAGGACTTCACTTCCCACATCCAACAAAAGAAGTCTTTCCTTTAACATGCATCTCTTCCCCATTTCTGGGAGCGCAGATGCATTATCAATGGGGCAGATCATTTCACACAAAACAGGAACAGGAACTACCTGTGACTATAGGCTCAGGGGTTTGAGCTGACAATAATCCTGAATCTGTGGATTTGGATATGCTACTACAGACCCAGCAATGGCTCTGGTGGCAGTGTCATGATTCAGGGCTATATCTTGTGTTCTGCTCCTCTTCACTAACCTGTCCTCAACTCCTTTTCAGATACCATAGGGTATCAGCAGAGTTGAAAAGACAACAGCAAGGGTATAGAGGCTAGATCCTGGGTTATAATTCGGTCCAACGGGAAGGTATTTCACCAGCGAGATCACAAGGGCCTTTCCATAGCTCACTTGTGTGGCAAAAGGTCAGTAGGCAAGAGGAAATAAATAGCTCTCAAATGGCATCTGAAGCAGAAATTGACTAGTCATTCAGCAAACCCTTAACCCTTTTCTTTTAGCATCTGTCTAGATTATTTGGGGGGGGGTGTCTTTTTTTGAGACAGGGTCTCCCTGTAGCACCAGCTGGCCTGGAACTTGCTGTGTAGACCAGGCTGGCCTAGAACACAGAGATCCACCTGCCTCTGCTCCCCAGTGCTAGGATTAAAGGCATGCGCCACCATGCCCAGCTTGTCTACTGTAGATTTTATATAACCTCTACTGTAGAAGTGACTGAGTCCTGGCCAATGGGGATGGATGGATGAATGGATACACCCACACCACACCCAAACCACACCCATATACCCGGGGGGGGGGGGGGGGGGACATCAAGGCCTAATCCCTTCAAAACCCTTTATACAAACACTCTCCAAGCTCTCCTATCTCACCCTTCCAGTCATCAGTTGACAGAATTTGTGCTCAATCATTTTATAAGCCCTGCTCGCCTCAACTGGGGTCCTGAATAATTATGGGAACAGAAGCCCTTACCCCACAACTTCCTTTACAAACTGTTTTGTATGGCTGAGGAATAAACCAATGTGTTAAGACAGACAGACAGACAGACAGACACACACACACACACACACCTTTTCTTTTGCTGTAAATATCAATAGTGAAAAAAAATAGCAATAGTGGGACACCAATAAAACAAAGTTTGTACATCACACATTAGGTGTTATTTGAATACTAACATCTTGATTTAAGGGCTGGGGACATAGTTTCTTAAAAGAATGCTTGTCATGTCCGGCATGGTAGCTCAAGCCTTTAATCCCAGCAACTGGAAGGCAGAGGCAGGTGGATCTCAGTGAGCTCAAGGCCAGCCTGGTCTACATAGTGAGCTCCAGGACAGCTGGGGCTACAGGGAAACCCTGTCTCAAAAAGACCAAAAAAATAAATAAATAAAAATAAAAGAATGCTTGTCTAGCATGCTCAGAGCCCAAAGTTGAATCCCTAGTTGGGGGTTGGGGCAGAGGGCTGAAGAGATGGCTTAGCTGTTGCAGAGGACCCAGGTTCAAGTCCCAGCACCCACATGGAGACTACCAAATATCCGTTAACTCTAGTTCCAGGGAATCTGATGCCTTCTTCTAGCCTCCTTGGGCTTTAATGACATGGGTACACTTACACACATGCAGGTAAAATGCTCATACACATAAAATAAAAAAAATTTTTTTTTTTTTTGGTCTTTTTGAGACAGGGTCTCCCTGTAGCTCCAGTTGGCCTGGAACTCACTATGTAGACCAGGCTGGCCTTGAACTCACAGAGATCTGCCAGCCTCTGCCTCCCAAGTGCTGGGATTAAAGGCTTGTGGCACCACTCCCAGCTCAAAAAAAATTTTTTTAAAGAGTATTAAGCATGATGATTTAGAACTGTGTACCCAAAAGATATGTTTGAGGAATAATAATTCTGGAGGACATAAATTAAGACTAGAGTACCTGAGTTTGAAGAGACACAATCACTGCCTTCTCACATCCTCCTGACCCAATAGCACAGGCCTCTACTGTGTAAACAGTCTCCCCTCAGTAAACACATTCTTCTCTCTCTGGCCACAACTAGAAGATGCAGAGGACAATATCTCCTGTCCCCCCACCCACACAGCTCCAGTCCACTTGTTCCCTTCCTCTTTCCTCTGCTCTTTGCTGTATGCTATCAATATAGTCTGCAAACAGAAGTCAGTCAAGCCTTTGCAGTTCTCCTCTCATCAAGTAGGAGACTCATTTATCCACTGTATTATACCTATCTACCAGCCCAGAATAAAACAAAGGTAGACTAATGCACAAACTGCCCTCACTGAAATCACAGAACAAGGGTCAGTAGATCTTCAGGAATGCTGAGGAAAATTACACTGAGTAGTTCTCAGAATTACCTTGAGAAATGGAATCACAAAAGGACGAAGAGGAAAGTTTGTGGCTTCTTGGAGCTTGCAATGGAATTCTTCAATTGTCACTGTTGAGTTCTGAAAAGATAAATAATGTTCAACATTCAAAACTGGACACACATGCATGAACACACACACAGCAAAAGTAAATACATTAAATGTGTGGAAAGACTATAGCAATCATTTGAATTTTTTCTATGGGTAGACAAAGAGACAAGACGAATTATATGGGGGAGAATAGTGACTCAGGCTAGAGGAACAGATTCAGGTCTGCATGTATAGCCAAAACAGAGGAACTTGTACCTTAGAGAAATGAAAATCTCACATACTGTATCAGTAACCCTTTAGTTAATCATTAAATCATCGACAATGTAACTGCATAGTTTTTGTTTAGTTTTGTTTGCTAAAGAATGTACAGTCCAGGGGCTGGAGAGATGGCTCAGCGGTTAAGAAGACTGGTTGTTCTTGCAGAAGAACCGGGTTCAAATCCCAGTACCCATATTGCAGCTAACTGTTCTTAACTCCAGTTCCAGGGGATCCGACAGCCTCTTCTGTTTTCCCTGGGCACTGCATGACACGGGTGCACCTACCTACACGCAAGCAATACATGACTACACATAAAATAAAAATAATAAAATATTGAAAAAAAAAAGTACAGTCCAGCAGGAAAACAGACTATTCAGTTGTTTATTATAGAACAGTTGAGATACAGAGAAGACATATTAGTATCAGACTCAATCTCTTGAATGTTCTTTTTCTTTATTTTTTCATTTAGTGTGCACATGAATATGTATGTGTTAGGGATCATGTATACCACAGTCCATGTGAGGACAACTTCTGGGGAGTCCATTCTCTCTTTCCACGTAGGTCCTGGTGATCAAACTCAGGCCAACAACTTGGCAGCAAGTGTCTTCATCCACTGAGCCATTCATTTCATTGGTGCCAGACTCAGTCATTTTTTAAAGTCTTTTTGAAACGGGGTCTTCCTGTAGCCCCAGATGGCCTGGAACTTGCTATATAGACCAGGCTGGCCTCAAACTCACAGAGATCCACCTGCCTCTGCCTCCCTGAGTGCTGGGATTAAAGGTGTGTGCCACCATGCCTGGCTAGTCTTTATTATTATTATTATTTTGTTTTTTGTTTTTTTTTTTGAGACAGGGTCTCCCTGTAGCCCTAGCTGTCCTGGAACTCACTATGCAGACCAGGCTGGCCTTGACCTCACAGAGATCCGCCTGCCTCTGCCTTCTGAGTGCTGGGATTCAAGGTGTGCCCCACCATGCCCGGTTGCATATGTAATCTTTTAAAAAATATTTTATTTATTATTTTTATTTTATGTGTGTTTTATGTGTATTGCTTGCATATATGTGAGTGCATCCGTGTTGTGTGATGCTGTGGAGGTCAGAAGAAGGCTTTTGTTTACCCTGGAACTGGAGTTAAGGACGGTTTGGATCTGCCATGTGGGTGCTGGGAATTGAATCTGGGTCCTCTGCAAGAGCAGTGCTTTTAACCTCTGAGCCATCTCTCCAGGCCCCTGCATATGTAGCCTTAATGAAAAAAATTCATCATGAGAAATGGTAGCACCCTACCAACCCCCACTTCTGCCCCTACAGATAGACACATCTAACTTCAGCTGCTCCTTTTTATTGTGTTCCAAAATGACATGCTCACTCATTATTGCCTGGCCTCAAACACAAAGATCCTCCTGCCTCTGCCTCCCAAGTGCTGGGACTAAAGACGTGAGCCAACCATGCCCAGCCTTTTTATGTACTTTAAAAAAAATTTTTTTTAATTTTTATTTTATGTGTATGAGTGTATTGCCTGCATATATGTAAGTACACCCATGTCAATGTAGTGCCTGATGAGGTCAGAAGAAGGCATCAGATCCTCTGGAACTGGAGCTACAGATGGTTGTTAACCACCATGTGGGTGCTGGGAATCAAACCTGGGTCCTCTGCAAGAGCAGTCAGTACTCTTAGCTCCAGCCACCCCCCACCCCTTTTTTTTTTTGGTTCTTTTTGAGACAAGGTTTCCCTGTAGCACCAGCTGGCCTGGAACTATGTAGATCAGGCTAGCCTTGAACTCACAGAGATCTGCCTGGGATTAAAGATGTGTGCCACCATGTCCAGCAGCCATGTAGAAAAATTCTTAAAAGGCCAGTTTGAAGGCACTAGAAAGATGGCTCAGTGGTTAAGAAAACATGCTGCTCTTGCAAAGGACCCAGGTTCAGTTCCCAGCACCTACACTGAGTGGATTAGAAAAGCATGTAACTTCATTTCCAGGCGATTCAACATTCTCTTTAGCCTCCGTGGGTACCTGTACACATATGGGGCACATACAGAAACATAAAAAGATTACTTTGAGGGGGGGGCATGTGTGGTGCTGCATGCATTTAATCCCAGCACTTAGAAAGCAGAGGTAGGCAGATTTCTGTGAGACTGAACACAGCCTGGTCCACATAGTGAACTCCAGGCCAGCTGGGGCTACAGGGAGACCCTGCCCCCTTCGCCCCCCACAAAAAACAAACCAACAACAATTGAAAAAAAAGTTTTAAAAGTCTGTTTAAGGGTTTAAGGGCTGGAAATACAGAAAGATAGCTTGGTTGCTACAGTGCTTGATTTCTATCCATAGGCCCTTAAAAAAAAGGAGGGCCAGTGAGATGGTATTTGCCAAATGATGACTTGAATTTAGTCCCTGGGATCCATAGGTGGAAGGAAAGAACCAATTCTTACAAGTTGTCCTCTGACCTCCACACATGTGCCATGGCATACATGCACTCCTCCCCATCCTCCCACATATAAACAAATAAAATGTTTAGAAAAATGCCAGATGAGGTAAAGCATCTCTGTAATCCCAGGACTCTAGTGCGATGGGAGGCTGAGATGAGAGAATGGTGCAAAGCTCAGCAGCAAGATGGAAGATGAGAACTGATTCTCTCCAAATTGTCCTCTACATGCAACACACACACACACACACACACACACACACACAGAGGCAGAGAGAGAAATATTAAAAAAATAATAACTAGAAAGAAAGTGAGGGGGGCTGGAGAAATGGCTTAGTGGTTAAGAGCACTTACTGTTCTTGCAGAGGACCCAGGTTCTATTCCCAGCACCCACACGGCGGCTATGAACCGTCATTAACTCTAGTTCCCGGGGAATCCGAAGCTCTCTTCTGACCTCTGCAGCATTGCACAACACAGGTGCACTCACATACATGCAGGCAATACACTCACACACATAAAATAAAAATAATAAATAAAATATTTTTTTAAAAAAAAGGAGGAAAAAAAGCCAGACCTGCTTGAAAGGGTGGGCCATTAGCTGACATAAAAGAATGTGGATGGTACAGTGTCCTATGCTGATTAAAAAAAACTTTCCTTAACTGAAAAGGAAGAAACAGCCTAGTGTCCCTCAATACCAGATAAATTGATAAACAGTGTATGAATAGATGATGAAATGAAACTTATCCTTTACAAAGAAGGAAATTCTCACATTCATTACATTGTTGTTGAGCCAGGAAAGAAGGGTCAGTGACAGGGATGTAGTTCAGTTGGTAGAGTGGTTGTCTAGCACTCATGAAGCCCTAAGTTCAGTCATCAGCACCACATAAACCAAGCATAATGGAACATGACTAGAATCCCAGCACTTGGGAGGTGGAAGCACAGATATCAGTAGTTTAAAGTCCACCTCAGCTACATAGTGAAATTAGCATGGGTTACATGAGACCTTGTTTCAAAAAACCAAATGGATGAAAACAGCTCTGAAGATGAATGGTGGTAGTGGTGATATAACACAGGAATGTACTGCACTGTAAGCTTTAAAGTGGTAACATGTTAAATTTTATGCACTTCACCACATTTTTAGAAAAGTAATCCCAGGGCTGGGTGTGGTGATGCATGCCTTAAAACTGAGCATTGGAAAGACAAAGACAGGGGGATCTCTGTGAGTTCAAGGTCAACCTGTCTACATAGTGAGTTCCAGGCCAACCAGGGTTCCACAATGAGACACTGTCTCAGAAAAAATTTAAGGGGCTGAAGAGATGGGTCAGCAGTGAAGAGTTTGATTCCTAACACCCAGACCACCCACAAGGCAGCTAACAACCATCTGTAACTCCAGTTCCAGGGGATCTGCTTCCCTCTTCTGGTCTCCACGGGCACTGCATGTGGTGCTCATACATATATTTAGCAAATTACTCAGATACATAAAAATAAAACAAATAAATAAGCTTGGCATTGTGGCGCATGTCTTTAATCCCAGTACTTGGGAGGCAGAGGCAGGTGGATCTCTGTGAGATTGATGCCGGCCTGGTCTACACAGTGAATTTCAAGCCAGTTGGGCTACAGGGAGCTCCTATCTCAAAAAACCCAACCCACCCACAAAAAACAAAAACAAAAACAAAAACCCAAAACAGTGTTCCGTAACAATTTGTAAAAAGGTTAAGGTGGTAAATTTGATATATAGCTTCAATGAAGAAAAAGCTTGCCCAAATATGGTCATATAAAATGAAGACATTGTGGGTGTGGTAGTACATATGTCTAGAATTCCAGCATTTGAGAGGTAGAAGCAGGAGAATTCCCAGGAGTTCAAGATCATCTTCTGCTACATTGTGAGTTCCAGGTCAGCCTAGGCTACATAAGACCTTGTCTCAACCAGAAATAAAATTATAACAGGCACACTTATGTACACATTTTATAGTGAGAAGGAAAAGGAGGAAGTAAAGAATTAATTTTGGGTGGACACGGTGGCACATAACTATAGCACCAGCACCTTGAAAGTGGAGAGAAGAGGATGGGAAGTTGGAGACAAATCACTGCCAGGCCCTGTCTATCAACAAACAAACAAAAGAAAAAAACATTATCTTTAGCCTAGATTCTTCTTAATGTAATCTGCTACTGAAATCAGCAACACAAACTAATGTCAGCTTTGTTTTTAATTATATTCAAGCTCATTTTGGCATTTAAGAAATCAGTCAGGACTCAGCACTACTGTTATATAGTAGTTTAAATCTTGACCATTAAGTAGGTTTTCTAAAACCAAACCAAACCAAACCAAAGCAAAGCAAAGGACAGGCATGGTGGCACATGCCTTTAATCCCACTCGAGAGGCAGGTGGATCTCTGTGAGTTCAAGGCCAGCCTAGTCTACATAGGGAGTTCCAGGCCAGCTGGGGCTACAGGGAGATCCTGTCTCAAAAAAAAAAAAAAAGAAAAAAAAAAAAGCCTGAAAAACAAAACAAAGGGCTGGAGAAACAGTTCAGCGGTTAAGAGCACATAGTGCTCTTCCAAAAGATATGACTTCAATTCCCAGCAACCACATCAGGTGGCTCACAACCACCTCTAACTCCAGGTCCTGGATGATCCAACGTATCTGGCATCCACAGGCATACCTGTACTCATGTGCATATACACATACACATTTCCACACAATTTAAAATAAAAATAAAAAAAGAAAAGAGCACTGGCTACTCTTGCAAAGGACCCACGTTTAGTTCCCAGCATCCACATAACTACTAACAACCATCCATTAACTCCAATTCTAGGGGATCTGTCACCTTCTTCTGGCTTCCATGGGCATTGTACGCACAGGTGCACTTACACAGATTTAGGCAAAACACTCATATTCATAAAATGACTTTCTCTAACTGCTAGGAGTAACTCACTGTGCCTAGACTGACTTTTCAAAACCTGGTTATGCCAAGCAATATTATTCTGGGAGGTGCTAGGCATAAAGTACTCCCATGACCTAGATACAATAAAAGCCTTAGGCAGAGTCTCTAACAGGCTTCTCTGGGCAGAAACATTGCATACATGTGGCTGCATTTTAAATCCCTGCTTTGGGGAATGTCATCTGTGTTATCATGAAATGGAGAGAAGAGAACATAAGGAAGCCCATACATGGATTCCTCCAGACTCTGTCTGTATGTCTCTCTTTTATGATCTGTTTATGTATCCTTATTATGCCTCTGGAATGATTTTCACTTTTGAGCACAACTACATGCCAAGTCTTAAAGAGCCAACGAATCTATAAACATGAGGTGGAATTAGGGACCACTGACACTGTCTCAAATGAACTCACATGTCCATCAAAAGCCAAAATGTATCAGTTGTGGTATAATAAAACACTACAATAAAAAACATGGCAGCTCACACCTGAAATGCTAGCCCTTAAGAGGTAGAGGCAGGACTATCAGGCATTCAAGGTCATCTTTGGCTACACAGAGTTCAAGGCTGGCCTGGTCTACATGAAACGCTATGTGTTTTCAGTTGGGAGGAGCAGGATCTCATGTATTGCCAGACTTGCCTGAAACTTGGTAATTATGTAACTTAAGATGACCTTGAACTCCAGATCCTATTATCTCCACATTCAAAGTACTGAGGTTATAGGCATGCATGCTACTCCTGGCTTATACACTGCTGGGGCTCAAACCCAGGGTCACATGGATATTAGATAAACACTTTGCCAACTGACCTTCATCCTTAGCTCTCCAATAAGGATACTGTTGAATCCCAGAACAATCAATCCTCTTTCAATCATACTTGAGAAATGCAACTTTAAGGACCATCACTGTGATTCAGTTTTTCATCATAAATAGAAGCTAATGAGCAGGAAAGAGTACAGAATCCCTTTTTCAGGAGTAAATCATAATATTTCATTTGGAAACAGAGAATTGGCAGTGCTTCCTTCATAAATCAAGAACATTAAACCTGCCCCAGCTGTCAATGTTACAAAGTCATCCCTAGCCAGGCATGTTGGTACACATCTTTAATCCCTGCATTCGGGAGACAGATCTCTATGAGTTCAAGGCCAGCCTGGTCTACATAGGTAGTTCAGGCCAGCTGGGACTACAGGGAGACTGTGTTTGAAAAAAACAAAAAAAAAGTCACTCCTTTATAAGCAGGCTCACTATGATCAGTATAGGAGGAAAAAGAATTTCTAAAGAAACTAGGTATGAGGAGCTGAACAGTATAATTGCTTACATACTATTTTCTGAGACTATGAAACTTCTAATTTTACAAATTATTATTTTGAAAATTAAAATCAGTTTGGAAATAATGTACCAGCTACTGAACATATTAAATTACAATAAGCCTTCTATTAACTTGGTTGGATCTTGGTAGGCCTGCTGAAAGCACTTTTAAAACAAATCCAAAGCTCTTTATTGAAATTAAATCAACACCTTAACTGAGAAGACTCATTATAGAATTCTTTTTGATAAACACTAAGAAATCTACATCAGTTTTGTAAAAATCATAAAACCATTAATCCAGTCAATAACATGTACACAGTTTGGGATGAGCAGAAGTATCTACAGCTTCTCAGATGGCTGTGGATCTGAGCCATCTGCATAGGCAAATGTCGATGACAGTGAAGTGGTACTTACCACCAGCGCTAGAACAAGAGTCCGAACCTTCTCGCCAATCTCAGGTGAGATATCATTGCCGAACTGCTGCAGAGTAGTGAGAAAGCGTTTCAACTTGCTGAGCTGCCGAGCACCACAAGTTGCTGGCAATTGCTGATTTGTTAGGGCAGATGATGTGGAAGAGGCAGGACCATTGCTGAATCTCTGTGGTGGTGATGGGGCGCCATTCAGGGTAGGAGGAGAATGGTTGATGCCATTGCTTACTAAAACAAAGCCAAAACGAAGGGTTCAGTTGAGGTGCAGAACTCAAGAGCCTTTGCCAGTTTCTTCACTTTTGTGTTCTCTTTCATTTGAAGTTTGTAAGGCACTTTAGTGTACAAAGCTCATTTCTACCTTGTAGACTGCAACATACTAAGACAGACTGTCAGAACAGTGTGGCGATGTGTGTCTGTAGTCCCAGCTACTGGAAGGGCTGATAGGGAAAGATAGTATGAGCCTAGTAACATTGTGACATTCCATTAAAAACAAAGAAGAGGGGGCTGGAGAGATGGCTCTGCAGTTAAGAGCACTGGTTGCTCTTTCCGAGGACCTGGGTTCAATTCTCAGCACCCACATGGTGGCTAGCAACTATATATAACTACAGTTCCAGGGGATCTGCTGCCTTCTGACCTCCATGAGCATGCATGACATGGGTGTACTTATAAACATGCAGGCAATACACTCATACACATTAAAAAACAGAAACAAAAATAAGCAAACAAACCCTTTCACCACACAACTGTAGAGTGCTATGGAAGAAGAGAAAAAGAGAGCTATAGTGCTGCTCTCCCTGTAATTCCAGTACTTGGGGAGGCTGAGGGAGGAGGACCTTTGGTTCAAGGATGCCTAGACTCTAAGGTCGTTTCAAAAAGAACAGGGCACAAAAGATGAATCTAACTCTATAGGTACCACAGGCAGTGGGGGGTTGTTTTAACAAAGACTTTAGCATGATGATGCACATGTATAACCTCAGCATTTGGGAGGTCTTGGAGGCAGAAGGGTCAGGAGGTCAAGGTCATCCTGGGATACACAGTGAGTTCTAGGCCTGCTTTTGCTGTATGAGACAGTGTCTTGAAAAATGAAAGACAGCAGTTAAGTGCTTGAGGTGAATCAGAGATAACACATCTTTCAGGGACTAGACACTCATTTTTTATTCATTTATTATTATTTATTTACTATTTACACAGGGTCTTGTACTTGTGACCAGAGTTCTGGCCAGCCTTGAACTTTCTATGATCCTCCAGCTGACAGATGCTAGCCACCACACCCAGCTTCCCACTCATTTTTAGAAATCTTCCCAACCTGAGGGTGCCAATTAGAAGTTAGCATGTGGGAAATAACAATCAGAAAAACAGAATTACACTAATATAAAAGGTCCTTTCAGGTCATGGACTTAATGACCTATTTCTGCAACAGTGTTTATCTCTGTGACCATTCAAAATACTAATGTCCTTTAAAGCTGCTTTCTCTTTGCTTTGACAGAGGGTGGTAAGTAATGCGAAATTCTTGGTCATTCAATAATTTAAATATCTTCTAAAGTTAGGAATGGCACTAGCTGCTCCAGAGTTTAAGACAGAAAATGACTTAAGCCCAAGAATTGGAGACCAGCACAGCAGGACCCTACAACATACCCAAAAAAGAAGGGGAGAGGGAGAGATGAAAAGGGAACTATTTAGACTCCACAAAGGATCTACCATTCTATATTTTGCTCAAATTATGATACACATGACTAAACAGTATTCCTGTTTGTGTAAGCAAAAAAATTCTCCTTTGTGCTAAATAGTATATTAAGATTACCTAACACCTAGGGCTGGAGAGATGGTCCAGTGGCTAAGAGCACTGGCTGTTCTTGCAGAGGACTGGGTTCAAATTCCAAAATCCAGTTATAGACCAACTATCTGTAACTCCAGTTCCAAGGGAATACTACACTCTTTTCTGACCTCCACCGGCATTGCAGGACACAGGTGCACTTACATGCATGCATGTAAATACACTCATACACATACAATAAAAATAATAAATAAAAAAAATTGTTTTGGTCTTTTTTTGAGATGGGGTCTCCCTGCAGCCATAGCTGGCCTGGATTCACTATGGAGACCAGGTTGGCTTTGAACTCACAGAGATCTGCCTGCCTCTGTCTCCCAAGTGCTGGGATTAAAGGCAAGTGCCACCATGCCTGGCTTAATAAAATACTTTTTTAAAAAAAGATTATCTAACACCTAAGTCTCAATCAGATTTCACCTAACCATATCCATGCTTTAAAAACTTAACAAGGTTGGGGCTGGAGAGATAGCTCAATGGTTAAGAGCCTGACTGCTCTTGCAGAGGACCCAGGTTTGATTCCCAGCACCCACATGGCGGCTACGAACTGTCCTTAACTCCAGTTCCAAGGGAATCCAAAACCCTCTTCTGACCTCCGTGCCATTGCACGACACAGGTGCACTTACATACATACAGGTAATACACTCATACACATAAAATAAAAATAAAATATTTTTTAAAAATTTAACAAGGTAATCCCAGCACTCAAGAGGCAGAGGCAGATGGATCTCTGTGAGTTCCAGGTCAGCTGGGGTTATAGGGTGACCCCATCTCAAAAACAGCAAAAAAAAAAAAACCTCTAACAAGGTGAAACTGCTAAGAAACATGCCAGGTGTAGAGGGGCACATTAGTACTACCAACACTCAGGAGGCAGAAGTAGGAGGATTCCAACTTGGAAGCCAGTATGGAGTTCATAGCAAGTTCCAGGCCAGCCTGAGCTACATAGTGAGATCCTGTCTCAAATAAACATACAATGAAAAAACAAAATAAAAGCTGGGTATGGCAGTACATGCCTGTAATCCCAGCACTTAAAAGGCAAGGTAGGAATGTAAAGCCTGACAACCCGAGTTTAATCCCTGGAACCCTTGTAAAGGTGGATGGAAGAACAGACTCCAAAACTAAAGCTGTAACTCTTTTTGTGAGAGTATCTCTGTGTGGTTATTTGTATGTACGAGCCTAGGTGGAAGCTAGAGATTGAGGTGAGGTGTCTTCCTCTATTGCTCCATCTTCTTGTTTTTTGAGAGTGACTCCAACTGAACCTAGAGCTCACTGATTGGCTAGACTGGCAGGCTAAGGAACCCCCAGGATTCTGTTTCTGTCTTGTGGGGCTGGGATCCAAACTCAAGTCCTCATGCTTGCACAGCAAGAACATTACACACAAGCTATCTCCTCAGCCTCTAAAACTGTAAATTCTCTTCTCTTACCTTTAAAAATAATGAACACACAAAGTTTGAGACAGTCTCAAACTATGTAGCTCTAGGCAGCCCTAGATCTTGCTATATAGATCATTATGTAGACCAGGCTGGCCTCAAGCTCACAAAAATCTGCCTGCTTCTGCCTCCTGAGTGCTAGATTTAAAGGCATGTGCCACCATGCCTGGCCACAAAACACAAAATTAAGTATAGTATGTAAATTGTGGAATGGCACTTAAATAAAACAATACATCTAGTATCTAGCACAAAGCTCTGGTAGTTTTAGGCTCTCCACAATAACAAACATGTTGTGGTTTATGAGGCAAACTATCTACAAGAGTGTCAATGTATACTGGGAATGGAAGCCCATGAAAAGATAGAATTTGAAAAAAAAAAAAATCAAGGAATATATGTTCGTATGTATTTAGATTTCAAACTGGCGATTGTGTAGGCGTATTCTGAGTATATACATAGAACAAAAATTGGTGAGTGGAAATTCAGCTTTAGTATATACTGATAATTTCCAAATTTGATTGTATGAAGTTACACTTCAAGCACCAACATACAGTTCAAAATTGCTCTGTTTATTTGTTTATTTACATTTTTTGAGATATGGCCTCACATAACCCAGACTGGCCTTGAACAGCCCATGTAGCTGAGGGTGACTATGGACTCTGATCCTCTGCCTCCGTGCCCTATGTGCTGCAGTCACAGGTATACACCGTGGTGCCTTGCTTTCAAGTTGCTTGTTTGGGTCCTTACCAGAACTTGTTCACTTTGAATATTCTAGGAAGTCTCAACCCTCTGTTATCTATTCATTGGCTAATGTAATTGTTTGGACTCAACTGTGTCTGCTGGAAAATTCCTTTGTTGAAGTCTTAATCCTTTACACCTCAGAACTCGATTATAGTTGAAGACAATATTTGAAACAGCAATGTAGATTAAATGAGGTCAAATTTGTGTACCCTAATTCAACATGATGGGTGCCCTTATAATCAAAATAAAAGGCCCTGAGAATGTCTAGATGTACAGGAAATGCCATGTGAAGACACAAGAAGGAGATAGCGATCGATAAGCTTAAAAGGAAGACCTCAGGAGAAAACAAACCTGCTAATACCATCATATTTGACTTCTAGCCTGCATGCAGAACAGTAAGAAATGAGCCACCCAGTGATCTAATACCTTCTTATGGCAGCTCTAGCAAACCAATGCCACAGTGATAGTCCTGTAATATTCTTAGGAATAAGTCCATGAAACTAATTATAAGTTATAAATACTAATGTAATAACATAAATTCATTTTTGCTAAAGTCAAAGAAGTAAAAAAATCACTATTAGCCAGAGCATGAATAAAAAATTAGACCACTGTGTTCTAAATACTAAGCTAATGGTTGAGTATGGTGATGTATATCTGTAATTCCAGCAGTTGGAAGGGGGCTGCAGAGGGGTCACTCCAACTTTGTGGTCAGCCTGAGCCACACAGTAAGCTATAGGCCAGTATGGGTGTGGTAGCACATGCTTGTAATACCAGCACTTGGGAGGTGTAGGCAGAAGGGATTAAGGTTATCCTTGGCTAAAAAAAAAAGTTATTAATCGATTAAACAAAATAAAAACACTGAAATAGCTAGGTGTAGTGGTCCATGCCTTTAATCCCAGCATTCAGGAAGCAGAAGCAGGTGGATTTCTGTGCGATGAAGGCCTGCCTAGTCTATATAGCAAGTTCCAAGCCAGCCAGGGCTACAGGGAGACCCTGTCTCAACCCCTCTCCCCCGCAAAACCCCAAACCCTCAACAAAGCAAAACAAACACCAAAAATACCTAAGCTAATTAAAATTCTTATAGGGAGTAAGAAATTTATAAAAGAAATAACCATGAGGCAGTGGATGAAGTTCAGTTGGTAGGACGCCTAGTACGCACATAGCCCAGTACCATACAAGCCAGGTGCAGTAGTGCATTCTAGCATTCAGGGAGTAGAGGGAAGATGATCAGAAGTTCAAGGTCATCTCACAGCACCTGGAATGTAGAGCATGGCCACCAGGCCGGATACCTCCTAGTGAGGACAGCAGGAAACTGGCCCGCTCCATTCTAGATACACTGTCTCTTATCCCTAAGCAAAACTATTAAGCCTCTAATCCTTTAATCCTAACCGGGTCCCTTGTAGATTATGCGACCAGAGGACAGGACAAAGGCCACGTAGCCTTAGAAACCCCCTCCCTCCCCCTACCTGCTGGCCTCCAGAAAACTAACCCTACCTCTTTGCCCACTAAGGTTTCCCATATAAACCTCTGTCCAGACAGTCTCCTGGGGTGTTTTCTTCCCGTCATACTCGCCTCCCCCCCACCGGTCTCTCTCCTTACCCTGACCTTCCGCTATGGGGACCATATCATAAGAATCATAAAGAAAAGGGGTGTTCTTTTTCCATATTTTGTATTCCTTGTTGATTACATAATCCTCCACTGTTTCATCAAAGGTTGCTTTCTTGTCAGTCATGGCAGCAGGCAGGTATTGGGGGTGAGGGGGGTGGAGTGGGGTCATGCATTGCAAGAGGGGCAGGGAGGTGACCAAAAAAAAAACTTTTTTTTGAAATAGGGTCTTCCTGTAGCACCAGCTGGCCTGGAACTCACTATGTAGACTAGGGTGGCCTTGAGCTCACAGAGATCCACCTGCCTCTGCCTCCTAAATGCTGGGATTAAAGGTGGGCGCCACCACACCCAGCCCCCCCAAATTTTTTAAAGACAGGATCTCAATAGGCAGCCTTAGCCGGCCTTAAACTCAGAGATCTATCTGCCTTTGCCTCCAGAATGCTGGGATTAAAGGCACATGCCACAATGCCTGGCTTAATAGTGTTTTGAAAATGTTGAATGGTGTATATCACAAATTTAATGTAAGCTAGTCATTTATTTCTAAATACTACTCTAAACCACAAACCCAAGTTAATTAAGAGTTCTCACATGCTGTAGGAGTAAAGGACACTGGTCTGGGTCCTCCAGGGTTTATTGGTGGGAGGGGTGGCATGATGGGAGGTGAGGATCTTGACTGTATCTTCACTTCCACAGGCGATCCAGGCATTGCTGGCACCTTTTTCTCACAACCAACTGCAAAGAATAAAAAGAGAAGTCAGAGCTCACTATAAAATAATGAAAATAGCAATTTGAAATGCCACCCTATTTTCCTAAGGACTTAGAAGTTAAGATGTATATTATAAAGGGTTGAATATTGGCCCCCAAGAGATATGTTCATGTCATAACATCTAGATCTATTATTACCTTATTTCGGAAAAAGATCTTACACACTTTGTATTGCGTGTGTATGCATGCACGTGCATGTGCCATAGCATGTATGTGGAGGTCAGAGGATAGCTTGTAGGAATTGGCTCTCTTCTTCCATCATGTTGGTCCCATGAGGTTGTCAGGCTCAGTGGCAAGTGCCTTACCCACTGAGGTACCTCACCGGCCCAGGAAAAAAATATTTTAAGAGACAAATAAGGGAAGGTTCTTCAGAGATCCTCATCCTAGGTTATCTGGGTGGGCTTTACATCTAATCTGAATGATGTCTTGCAGAAGAGACAGGCACACTTCCACAGAGGAAGGTGAATGAGGAAGACAGTCACGGGAATATTGGGCAGAAACTGGCACGAGGCATCTGGAAACCAAGAACTTTAAAACTCATCAGCAATCACCAACTTCTGGGACACAGGCACAAAAAAGATTCCTCCACCAGAGGACCCAGGAAAGACTCAGCCCTGAGCAAACCTTGGTTTTAGACTTTTCGATCTCCTAAACTGTGAGTGCACAAGCACCCACTATGTCTTGTTTTGTCAGCCCCCAAAACTAAAACAAGGGAACAGGGCCAGTGGTTACATGAACATAACATACAAACTTGGCTTACCTTCTTGACTTATAGTCAAATAGAGGAAAAACAGCTAATGTAGAAATCCTCTACAATAGTAGGCTTCAATTATATGACAGAAAAATGGAATCATAATCAGCTAAATATAATTACTACCAGTGATGAAGCAGTGAAAACATGTATGTGCATATTACACTAAGAAAAAAAGAAGTAGAGTTAATTATCTCTACTATCTGGCATATAAATGACATTTTCTTATTCAAAAAAATGGAAAGTAGACTTGATTCTAAATTATGCACAGGCTATTCAACCCATAGGTATAATTCTTAAAAAACAGCTATTTGAGAACACTAAATGGCAAAAGAAGGACATAGAGAAAATAGACAAACTTAATGGTATTAAAGTCAGGTCTTAGTAATATAAATAAAGCATGACACCATGTGGTAATATTCTAATATCTCTCTTTTTTCCTTTTTTCCTGGTGCTGGGGGTTGACCTCAGGACCTCACACACATGCTAGGCAAGCACTGCCTGAGCTATATTCGTGGCCTTTTCTATCTTTAATAAGTTCTCTTTCAGGCTGATAATGATATGATAGAGTATGATAGAGTTGAAGAGTGCTCACCTAGCATGCACAAGTCCCTGGGATTGAGCCCCAGCAGAGTATAATACCTGGTGCAGTGGCATACAGCCTGCATCCCAGCACTGAGGAGGTGCAGGCAGAAGGACTAGGCGTTCAAGGACAGCATCCAGCTACATAGTATTCTGTGCTAAATGAAACCCTGGTCTCAAACAGCAACAAAAATGTCCACTAAAACAAAACACTATTAACTAATTAACTAAAATGAATGAGAAAGAAGTCCCCAAATATTAGTTTATGCTCCAGTTTGCATTGGTTATATTTTGGAAAGGGATTTGTGAATAAAGAAAATCAAGGAAGCCAAGCCCGGTGTTACAGATCCCCTAATAAAAACCTACAGTACTCTGAGAACCATGTGGCCAAAATTATCTGCCCTTGCTGTCTCTGTTCAGGTCACTTTCTTTGTGAAATCGATGGTGGTCCTATCTGATCAGTGGACTAATGAGCTGTTACACTTGCTTTTTTCTTCCTGCCAGTGTTTTCTCAATGCCCTTCAGAGAACAGTTGACTCATTTCCAGCAATTCCATCTGGGGCCCAGCTTTCTGGAGGGGGTGGGGGAGAAGGGAAGGAAGGAACTGACAGTTGTCTCGCTCGCGCACTGTTATGTGTTATGTACAGTGTGCAACAACCTAGAGGGAGTCTTTCTTCAGACCACCTGCCTTTACAGCAAGGGTGCCAAAGGCCTGAGGAGGGCTTTGCAGTCAGATGTGTTTTAACTTTCAGCACTTGGCAGGGCAACAAAGATGGAGCAGCCCAACTGCAAACACTGAACTCTATGCTTTTACCTCCTGAAAGCTTAGCTGATAGACAAAACCCAGCCTCAAGAACACTGTTTAGAGACCCCACTACCCACTTGTCACTTTACAACCTACACACCTGCACCACTAATGTTATTTCTAGTTTTCAAACAGTAACACAGATACAGAGAGTGAGAGAGCTGGGGTGCTCGTTCTGTTACTCATGACCTATATGAGTCTTAGCAAATCATTTCACCCGTCTGGGCCTCATTTTTTATCTTTTCACAGAAACAAGTGACAATAAGAACCACCTGGAAGGAAAAATCAAAATCAGAGACAATGCCTAGCCTAATGGTACATAAAAAAGAGTGATGATTACAATACAGTATTTTGTGTCAATCTGCCATCTAACTAGGTATGTGAAATATGCCCAAGACATGAGCAATTTTTTTGTTGATATGGGTACATCACCATCAATTTATCCATCTAACCTGAGAGTACACTGTGTGAACCCATCATAGCCCCCACACTCAGTTACATAATACCAGATGCAGTTTCAGAGGTTGTAGTGTAAGGTCAGGAGCAAGGAGCTCATCTTTTTGCATCATGATGACTATCTTTCATACTGATTTTTAAAAAATATATATTTTCACTTGAACACATAAAATTTTTATTTTATGTGTTCAAGTGTATTGCCTGCATGTAGGTGAGTGCACCTATGTTGTGCAATTTCACAGAGGTCAGAAGAGGGCTTTGAATTCCCTTAGAACTGGAGTTAAGGATGGTTCGTAGCCACCATGTGAGTGCTGGGAATCGAACCCGGGTCCTCTGCAAGAGCAGTCAGTGCTCTTAACTGCTGAGCCATATTTTTATTTTTATGTATGAGTGTGTTGCCTGCATGTACGTCAGTGCACCAGCATTGTGCAGTGCCCACAGAGGCCACAACAAGGCGTCTCTGATCCCCTGTAACTGGAGTTACCGAAGGTTGTTAGCCACCATGTGGTGCTGGGAACTGAACTCTGGTCCTTTACAAGAATAGTCAGTGCTCTTAACTGCTGAGCCATCTCTCCAGCCCCTCATATTGATCTATCTTTATTCTTTGTCCTCAAATATTGTTCTTTTTAAACTCTTCCTTCCAAGTAAGTAAATAAATAAGTTACAAGGAATATAGGGGACTTCAAGAATAAAATTAATGCTTTAACATATGAAAACTACACTTCTATTTAGTATGTATTTTTGGTAGGGTGAAGAGCAGGTCTCACATAACTCAGACTGGCTTCTACCTTGCACATGCTGGAACCACAGGTATGTGTCACCTGTAATTTTTTTTTTTAAAAAAGGTCCTGTTCAGTAGTTGAAGCTGGATTGAAGTTATTGTTACTCCTGCCTCTGCCTCCAGGGCACTAGGATTAAAGGTGGGTGTCATCATACCCAGTACATCTAATACATTTGCTATACCTAAGAGATTGGCAAACTTTTCCAGAAAAGGCAAAACAATAAATATTTGTGGCAGTAAAAAGCATATTATTTCAGTCAGAATCATTAAACTCTGCTGTTGCAATATACATTGTAGACTACACACAAATGAATTGGCTGTTTTCTACTAAACTTTATTTTTTTAAAAAAGGCAGCAGGCTAGGCATGATGGCACATGCCTTTAATCTCAATACTCAGGAGGCAGAAGCAGGTGGATCTCTGTGAGCTCAAGGCCAGCCTGGTGAGTTCCAGTCCAGCTGGGGTTGCATGAAAACCCTGTCTCAAACTCTAACAACAAAAAGGTAAATAGGCCATTGTTTACTAATCCATTATGGTTAATGAAAAGGTAGGGAAAAAAAATCCAATGTTTCTTATTTGTATGCCTATGAAATCTATTTTTAGTACCCAGTGAGGTGGTTCATCTGGCTACCATTTGTATTTTTCTGGTAGTATATGGAGTAGAACATAATACATACTTAATGCTCTTCAAAGAGAGTTAAAACACAAAAAATAATCTAAAAATAGAATGCTAACAAGATGAAGTCAGAACTGAGGCACTGCAAAGATAAGGCATGTTCAGCCAAGTGATTTGCTTAAGGTTATACCAGTAATTATTTAAAGGGTAAGACAGGAGGCACAGTAACATACACCTGTAATCCCAGCACTCAGGATTCTGAGATAGGAGGTTCACTACAAGTATGAGACCAGCCTGGGATACATAAGACCCTGTCTTGAAAAAACAAACAAAAACAAAAAACAAAAACAGGGACAGCAAAATGGTTCAGCAGGTAAGGGCGCTAACCATCAAGCCTGCAGACTTGAATTCAATTCACAAAACCCATACTGTGGAAGGAAAAAATCGACTCCTGCAGGTTGTCCTCTGACCGCCAGGTATATGCTTCAGCATGTGCATATCCACACATACATACATGCATACATACATACACACAAATGTTTTTTTAAAAGCTATGCTCAATATACTAGTCATCAAAGAAACACAAACTAGGGTGGGTAAGAGACCCTAAAGGGTAAAGGTGCTTGCCACCAGCTCCAATGACCTGAGTTTGATCTCTGGGATCTACATAGTGGAAGGAAAATAGACTCCTACAAGTTGTCTTCTGAGTCACACGCACACACATGTACACACACAGACATACATATCATGTGTATGTATATGCTCCCCCAACATATATATAAACACATGAACATATGCTGGGCATGGTAGTACCCACCTTTAATCCCAGTACTTGGGAGGCAGAGGAAGATGGATATCTGTGCGTTCAAGGCCAGCCTGGTCTATATAGTGAGTTCCAGGCCAGCTGGGGCTCCAGGGAAACCCTGTCTCAAAATAGCAAAAAGAAGGAAAGAAAAAAGCATAAATAAGTTCATGGA